TTCAACTGTTACTGAATTTTTTAACATCCTACAAAGTATTGGCACAACTCGATAGAAGTGGTGTGCAGGTGTCCCGAAAATCAATTCCTGTACAAGAAGATCGTTGAAAAGGAACACATCTATAAATTCATAATTGGCCCTCAATAAGAATATGGATGAGGTACGTGGAAGAGTTTTAAGCATTAAACTATTATCTAGTCTTAGGGAGGTTTTTTTTTTTTTTGAAATTTGCAAAGAAGAAAGCAGAAAAAAAGTGATGTTGGGAATACGTAACTTTTCTAAAAATCTTGAGAACTTAGCTCTTGCTGCACAAGGAACTCAATTCAATAATAATAATAACCAAATAAAGAAGAATCGTCCATGGTACTACAATTTTAAGAAACCCGAACACACAAAGGAGGTTTGCTGGCATTTACACGGTAAACCTACCAATTGGAAACCTTCTCGGGCACAACAAAGCCGAAGAGGTCGAGGCTACATTGCTATAGCTGAAGAAGAAAAACCTAACATGAGCTCAAGTGGTACTATAGCTGACACAAATTCTAATCCATTTAACAAAGAACAACTGAAGGCACTGCAAAAAATGTTCCAACAGACTCTTCAATCCTTCGGAGCAATCAGTGGTGTTGCATATGTAACCCAGAAAGGTATTTTTTCTCATGCCCTCAACATTAGACAGGAAAATCATACTACATGGATAATGGATTTCGGAGCATCAGATCACATGACTGTCATAATAATTCTTCTATTCGAATTGTCGATGGAACCCTTTCAAGGGTAGTTGGTAGAGGTTCTGTCATTATTTTTAAGAATATTACCTTTCACTCTGTACTCTATGTACTAAAATTAGATTACAATTTATTGTCTATAAATAGATTAACGCGGGATCTTAATTAAGTTACTAAAATTTTTTCACGCATGTGTGAATTTCAGAACTTGAACTCTAGGAAGAGGATTGATAATGCTAAGGTGTGTGCCAGACTTTATCCCATAAGAATTAAGGAGATTCAAAAACGACCAAGGACAACTGCTTGTGTAGTTGATAGCCCTAGTACCCAAACAAATAATGTTGTTATGTTATTACCCTACCGATTAGGCCTCCCATACTTCTTGTATCTTGAAAAATTATATCCATCATTATTCAATAAAAGTTTCAGAAAATTTCAATGTGAAATATGTCAATTGTCCAAAAACACTCGTAATTCTTATTTTATTCAACCCTAAAAATTATCTCATTCTTTTTCCTTGGTACAAAATGATATTTGGGGAGCCTCTAAAATTAACAACATTATAGGTTATAGGTGGTTTGTCACCTTTGTTGATGACCATACACGAGTGACTTGGGTATTCCTCATGAAAGAGAAATCAAAAGTGGATGAAATATTTAAGAACTTTAACAAGATGGTTCAGATGCAAATCTAGGCAAAAATTCAAGTCCTTCGAACAGTTAATATCGAGAATGCTATCACCACATGCTCTAGTCATATTTATTAGAAAATAGGTTTGTCAAAGCTCGTACATCGATAGTCCATAGTAGAATGAAGCTGCAGAAAGGAAAAATAGACATATAATGGAAGTGGGAAGGCCACTCATGATAGCTTCAAATGTGCCAAAATAATTCTGGGCTAAAGCAGTACTTACAGTAACCTATTTGATCAACCGAATGCCCTATAAAATCCTCATATTCAAAACTCCATCTTAAGTCCTTCTCGCTGCATATCCATCTATTCGAATAATCTCATCTATCCCAGTCAAGGTATCTAGGTGTACTGCATTTGTTCACATTCATAAGTCCCAACGTAGTAAACTCGATATAAAAGCTATTAAATGCATATTTCTACATTACTCATCAAACCAAAGAGGATACAAATGCTACTCTCCTACAACTAAGAAATTTTGCAACTCTATGGATGTCACATTCTTCGAAAATCAACCATTCTATCCCAAAAATGCAATTCATGGGGAAGAACTGGTCCACAAATGAATTCCACTTTTGGGAAGCCGAAACCAATGCCACCTCTCCTTCGAGCTTATCATTGTCTCCACAAACAACTATTACTCTTCTTATCCCTGACAACCCTGAAAATAATTTCCCTCCTATCGCTTCCGAATCAACTACACAAGACAGTAAAGTGGTAATGGTCTATTCAAGGAGAAAATATAAAGAAAAAACCAAAAAGCCTCCTCAAAAGGTGTAAGAGGACAACAGACCACCTGAGTAGAACTAAGAATTGGATTGAGATTCAAGCAACCTGGACTCACAACAAGATAACA